CCCCCCCCCCACCTCCTGTGATCACTTTCCCCTCTCTTCTTTTGTCTCTATCACCATAAAATCTGGAACTTCTTAAGCAAGTCACACACCAAAAGATAAGAGGCAGGTGCACTGTAGTCGTGAGAGGCTCAGCCTCTGGAGACTGGCTCCAGAACAGTTTAACAGTTTGACCTTGGGCAAGTCGCTTAACTCGTCTATGTTTCAGTTCCTTCATCAGTAAGATGGGGGTAATAATAGTATTTACTCTGCCCCCTCCCCCGCTCAGGTCGAAAAAATAGAAAATAAAATGCAAATGGTAATATTTTATCCAATAAAATATATTCTACCTTTCTGCCTTAACGGTGCCGTTACGTGTTTATTCTTAAAATGTATCAGGAAGGTTTCAGATATACAAAAAGGCATAAAGGATAATCAGCAAACCACTTTATACTTCCCTCCCAGCTTAAGAAATACAAAATTACCAATGCAGGAAAAATTGTGTGCCCCTCTCACCCCCAAAGGTGACCATTACCCTGAATTTGTCATTACCATTTCTATGGATAGCTTTATTTTTACTCCACCTATATTCCTAAACAATATTCAGAATTTTGATGTGTTCTTCATCCTTAAACCAACAGTATCACACTTTTGAGTATTTTTGCATCTTGTTTTCTTGTCTGTTTGTCTGCCTTTTGTTTTTTAAGTTCCACATTGTGCTAACAGGAGTCCCCTACTGAGGACCTATAGCTCTAATTCATTATTTTCGCTGCCGCATAATATAGTGCAAAATATAGGTAACTCATAACTTATATTAAAGAGTCTCTCGTCATAGGTGTTGTTTCTTATTTGTTGCTATTGCAAACCGTGCTGCAGTGAATACTCACCTATGTGTCTGTCTCCTTGTGGGTGGGTGTGAGTTCCTGTAGGTTCTACTTCCAGAAGTGAATTGCTGATTCGTAGGCGAAACACATCTTCCCCTTTGCTGGATGTTCCCAAATTGCGATTTACTCCGCAGCGTAATTTACTTCCCACAGCAGTTTAAATCGGTTCCCATTAGGTCACACCCTGGTCAGCCTATGGTTACCTTAAGGATTACTGTTATTTTGTACTGTTATTAGGGTACTGTTTGCACCCTAATGAGTGCGAACTCCATTATCTCATGTCATCTGCGATCCTCACAAGAAATCTCAATAGGAAAATTTATAGAATTTTCCTATCCAGCCCAGATAAGGCCTGGATAACATCAGAAACAAGCAACCCCCACAGTCAGGGAGCGAACTTGCTCTGCAATTTCTCCCCAACGACCCAACCATAGCCACCGTTTGACAACTTCGTTGGCTGTGGGCTTACGACTCAGCAACATTTTCCGCCTTAGGCTGGCTGAAACAAACCACGTTCAGGTTTACGCAGAAGGAAAAGCATCTAGATAAGGTCCAAGGGAATATAATTGGAAGGCACCCTTCACTTAAGCTCTGGCTTAAATTAGATATGAATATGTGGTTACTCACAAATCTCTTTTTCTCATCTCCAGACAATTCCGTCCACTGGGAGCGACCTCAGAAACCCAAGGCACCAGTGGGGCATCTTTATCAGCCCCAGGCTCCCTCAGCTGAGGTGGAGATGACGTCCTACGTGCTCCTCGCTCACCTCACGGCCCAGCCCAGCCCGACCTCCGAGGACCTGACTTTGGACACGGGCATTGTGAGCTGGATCCTAAAGCAACAGAATGCCCACGGGGGCTTCTCGTCCACCCAGGTCTGTGTCTGCCAGAAACTTTTGCTTCGCCTTCAGGGAACGAAAGTTCTGAACAAGATATAAACACATGCAAGAGGGAAAAATGAGGATGCGGATAACTCGAAATGAGGAAAATATGATGAGTATTCAGGGAGAGCGAGAAATAAAGAAAACTCAAAGTCAAAGTGTTATCATCACAGTCCCCTCCTGCCAATAAAAACTCTACCTCCCTAAAGAAGTGAGACCCTATGTGCAATGGCCACAGCAGAATGGCTTTTAAAAACCTACCTTCAGGAATCTTCTGGAAGTTCTAAGAGTCCCTTTCAAACAACAGTTGGAAACAGTTTCAAACAGTTCTCAGGAGCGCCACTCAAAACCCAAAAAAGCTCTCCTTGCAAATCTCTGCATTCAAAGGTCCCCTTTAACTGGCTTATTTTGAAGCTGACACATTTTATGCTTCCACTATTCACCCTTTGCTATACAAATATTTGTTCACCAGCAGCATGAAGAACTTGCTTTATTATTGCCAACATCGTAAGACTATCTAAAAAAAATCCGTCAATAGGTACACAGCAGGAAGTGTTATTTTCAGAGAATTTAGGCTTATTTTTCCATATGAATGGGGAAAACACGGAATACTTTTATGACAACAGTTACTCTTTCTTAAATCTATTGTTTAAAGAATGTCATTCAGGTTCAATGCTGAGAAGATTTGAGAATTGAGAAGATGGCATGCAAGGGTGGGAGGAATCCAGACTTGTGGTAAAAAAAAAAAAAAAAAAAAAAAAAAGGGAGAGCCAAAAAATGCCAATAAATCAAGAAGATAATTATAATTAAGCATGCCCCTGATCATGGCTGCAAAGGACCTTGGGTTTTCTCAGGGCACCGAACTCAGCAACAGAGCAGAGTTTAATTTGGGGTGAGAGGCAGACTGATCTTTGGTTGAGTGATGGCAGACATAACCACAATTATCAAGTAAGACATCTTAGACAAATAGCTAATGCCAATGAATGATTCCCATTCACATATACTTTCCACAGCCCATATCCCACAAACATTCATCCATAGGAAAAGATCAATTTTCTGAGAAATAAAAGAAGCCTCTAAAGCATACAGTCCGAGGCAGATATGTGGATGTTATGCTTCTGTTATCTATCTAAGGATTCTAATCAATCTGGAAATTAGAACTCCGTTATTTAAGTAGCGAGGGAAGCAGGAAGGAGGACATCAAGGCCCATCTCGTCGACATGCCTTTGGGCCCTCAAAAGGTTACTGAGCCTACACAGGTTCTCTCACTCGTCTTTTCTAGGACACAGTGGTGGCTCTCCATGCCTTGTCCAAGTATGGGGAAGCCACTTTCACCGGAACTGGGAAGCCTGCACAGGTGACCATCCAATACTCAGGGACGGTTTTCGAAAAATTCCAAGTGGACAGCAACAACCGCCTGTTACTGCAGCGGACTTCATTGCCAAAGGTGCCGGGAGAATACACCATGACGGTGACCGGAGAAGGATGTGTCTACCTCCAGGTGAGACTCTTGGGGCACATGGGGTCAGAGGGCCCACCGGAACAGTCCTCACTAAAAAATTCCTAACTCAGTGGGGCGCCTGGGTGGCTCAGTGGGGTTGAGCTTCCGACTTCGGCTCAGGTCATGATCTCACGGTCTACGAGTTCGAGCCTCGAGTCGGGCTCTGTGCTGACGGCTCGGAGCCCGGAGCCTGCTTCAGATTCTGTGAAATTTTTTTTTGTAAATTCCTAACTCAGCAAATGATAGGGCAACCCAGAGAACGAGTTGAGGAAGCTTGGAGGAGTTCTGGTGACCAGAGGGAACACAGATTTTTGTCTTTGATGTTCCACAGACATCCTTGAAATACAATATTGTGCCAGAAAAGGAAGAGTCCCCGTTTGCTTTGGATGTACAGACTGTGCCCCAAACCTGTGATGGACCCAAAGCCCACACCAGCTTCCAGATCTCACTGAATGTCAGGTAAGACCTGTGACTGGATCGTCTAATTCTGGGTATAAGAACCAGTCTGCTAGGGGCGCCTGGGTGGCTCGGTCGGTTAGGCGGCCGACTTCGGCTCAGGTCATGATCTCGCGGTCCGTGAGTTCGAGCCCCGCGTCGGGCTCTGTGCTGACCGCTCAGAGCCTGGACCCTGTTTCGGATTCTGTGTCTCCCTCTCTCTGACCCTCCCCCGTTCATCCTCTGTCTCTCTCGGTCTGAAAATAAATAAACGTTAAAAAAAAAAGAACCAGTCTTCTTACCGGAACTCCCATTAAGCTGAGTGGCGTGGCAATAAATGTTTGCACTACATTTGTTGTAAAAAGCAACGCGTCCTCATGCCGATACAGAATCGCTTCATGATGGGGTATATGCGTTGTGCCTCCCCTGCCTCCAGGATCTGTGATTGTGAAACCTCATAATTGAAAAGTTAGTTCCCCTCAATAAGCACTAAAACAAGAGAACATTCACCCTTGCCTCTGACCCGAATTCCTGATTTAATTCTAAATGTAAGTGAATTCATCCTATTGTAATGAAATTCCGTATTGTTCTTGCTCTCTCTGATTGCCAAAATGTCTGAATAGAAGGACGTAGTGCGTCTGTAGTTAGAATTCCTACCGACAATAAGGAAACCTCAGATTACACACAAAATAATCGATTTGCATACATGCACAGCAACATTCAAATAGCTCCAGGGCTTACCAAAAAAAGGTTTCTGCCCACAGGAATGTTGTACCCTGGCTGGGGACACCGTTCAGGACAAAAGTTAAAAGTATACGTAACAAATAACGCGCAGAGATTAGCGGTCGCAGGCCCAGCTATGCGTCACTCACAGAGCTCCCTTAAACTGCAGAACCTCGAGTCCACACACGTAAAATCCTGATTCATCAGATCTAGGGTAAAGCCCGGTCTCTGTGGCTTTAACAAGCTCCCTATCACTTGGGTGGGATATTTAGGAAGGCTTTCATGTACTATTGAGGGCTGTGATGGCTTACTGCGGACATGGGAGAAAAGGATATTTAATAACACGGAAAGCCCTAATTTCCTTTCTCCCCCAAATCTTCAGTTACACCGGGAGCCGTCCCACCACCAACATGGTGATTACTGATGTGAAGATGCTATCTGGCTTCATTCCCCTGAAACCAACAGTGAAAATGGTAGGTCTATCTTACGTCCAGGAGGCTCTAGTTCATTTGATGTTTTATGTATCTCCAGGCTAAGAAAATCTTAAAATATTTTAAATCAACTTCTACCAAAGGCTAGTACTTTCTCCAAATCAGAAATACAATTTAGCCTGCTTGTATATGGGTTTTTTGACGTGTGGTGTTTTTTTTTTTTTTTTTTTTTTTCTTTTTTCCTCATGGAACTCTGTTTTCATGCATCTCAAAATTCTGTGAACAGGTTTTTGATCACGTCGTTCCCATTCAAAAGTATTTATTTTAAAAAGCTAATAACTTAAAACACCCACACACACAAACGAATGGTCCACAAAACATTCTCCCTTCCTTCTGAAGGTTTTACGAGGCATTATTACCATTAACCAGTCTTACTTTCAAACTCAAATGGCCAACGGAGACAAACAGTGCTGAGACCATCCTTCCACCACTGATTAAGACTAGGGTGGCAGGTATTAGGGATAATATTCATTTAGTCCCCTGAGCCTTCCGGGCAGACATGGTGACCTTGCCAGATGCAGCAGACTTTTCATCCGCTGCTTTGATGACCCCCGGAGGGACTGTGTGTCTCATTTCGCAAACAGCTCTCTTCTAGAAGCCACAACGTACTAGAAGAATATCAGCAGATTCCTGAAGCTTAGACTCTTAAGATAAAGCTTATGCACCAGTGGAAAAAATCTATGAAAAATAACCGACGGGCACAAACTAGAAGTATTACAGAAGTTCAGAGGAAAATGAGATTGCTATAAATTAGAGCAGGCAAAAAATAAAAAAAAAAAAACAGTTGAATAAGGAAACCTCCTTCATGAAGGAATAGAATGTAACTTGAACATTGAAATACGGAAAATTCTCAAGTTTAGGACATTTATTTCACATTTCTGCAGATATATCAACTTTACACATAGGCATGTGCCATACTAATATTAAATGCTGCCTCCCAAGTATCTTTCATTTTTACTTTAAAAACATTATCATTGGGGCGCCTGGGTGGCTCAGTCGGTTAAGCATCCGACTTCAGCTCAGGTCACGATCTCGTGGTCCGTGAGTTCGAGCCCCGCGTCAGGCTCTGGGCTGATGGCTCAGAGCCTGGAGCCTGCTTCCGATTCTGTGTCTCCCTCTCTCTCTGCCCCTCCCCCGTTCATGCTCTGTCTCTCTCTGTCCCCAAAATAAATAAACGTTAAAAAAATTAAAAAAAAAAAACAAAAAACGTTCTCATCTTTACTTACAAAAATCATTCGAAGCAGCTTTACCCTCAGGCTTAATTTGGTAATCCAAATTCTCCTTTTCTCTGGTTTCCCCAGAGGTTTCATCTGTTTATTAACATTTGTGATGTATTAATTTTCTCCAGCTTGAAAGATCTAACCGCGTGAGCCGAACAGAAGTCAGCAACAACCATGTTTTGATTTATCTGGATAAGGTGAGAGCCCTGCCACTCTAGTTGTGAAAACAATATAGATAATACTTCTTCTAAAATTTTTTTTAATGTTTATTTATTTTTGAAGGAGAGAGAGACAGAGTGTGAGTGGGGGAGGGGCAGAGAGAGAGGGAGATACAGAATCCGAAGCAGGCTCCGGGCTCTGAGCTGTCAGCACAGAGCCCGACGCGGGGCTCGAACTCCAGACCGCGAGATCATGACCTGAGCCAAAGTCGGACACTCGACTGACTGAGCCACCCAGGCGCCCCATATGGTCATTCATTTAAAGCGAATAACTGAGCCGAAGTCGGACGCTTAACTGACTGAGCCACCCAGGCACCCCGATAATCCTCCTTCTAAGGGAGTTATAATAATCCCATTCTAAAGGAAGTGAACGAAGACATTTTGGAGACATCACCTCATAGCAAAACTTTGAGCATTCTAGGGGTGCCTGGGTGGGCTAAGTGTCCAGCTCTTGATTTTGAGTCAGGTCATGATCTCACAGTCCATGAGTTCGAGCGCCGTGTCAAGTTCTGTGCTGAGCAGAGGGATTCACTCTCTCCCTCTCTCTCTGCCCCTCCCCTGCTTGTGCTGTCTCTCTCAAAATAAATAAACATTTTTTTTAAATGAGCGTTCTAATACTAATTCCAGTAAACATTCTCCTCTCCTTTATTCACATTTCATGTGAGACAATGGGAAGAAATGGCTTATTATCATATTGGGATATGAATATTTCTAGGCCTCATAAGCAAGAAATTCTCTATACAATGTGTTTTTTATGTCCATAATCTATTTTGAAAATATTGAATAATGTAAGGAAGAAACCCAGTGGTAAACCCAATGGTTTCTTCTTTACATAATTATATCAACATCAATTCTTATGTTGATGCTGCTATATCAATTATATATTATATCTCAAATATATCAATTATATAATGGACACCTCAATTACTATATCAACAGCACATCAACAATATAAAAGGAGAAAATACTGTCCATCTCAGCAAGGATGTACCAAAAAATGATAAGATCAGTCCACCCATAAACTAATCTCACTTTATAGTTGTGTAATCTAACATAATTTATGCATTCATATATTAGTGGATGTTATAGTTTATAAGTTTTATGAAATTTTAACAAGGCTGTAATGATCAATTTTTTATATTCCTTTTTGAGTTGACACAGTATTTCTACAAGATAGGGAAGTAAAATTATACCAAATCTCTGGATATGTAAAAATGGACATGGCCATTCAATCAATAAAATCATATATCATTCACCCCTTATAAACAGAGCCCATGGACTAGCATTTATTTATAGGACTATATGAATTGATCGGATTATTTAAGGCAAATTTTGGAATTTTTCATTCACTCTTGGAACTTTCTGCAATTTAAGGACGCTGTTAGTTGATAAAAAAAAAAAAAGGTTCTTTTCCCCCAAGAAAGTAGATGAATAAACTCCTTCGAAGAAGACAGAAGAAAACTTTTAATTCCCTTTTGCTTTCTAGGTGACCAATGAGACACTGAGCTTGTCCTTCATGGTTCTGCAAGATATCCCAGTGAGAGATCTGAAGCCAGCCATAGTGAAAGTCTACGATTACTATGAGACAGGTAAGTGTGAACAACTTCCACATAGAAATTAAATTTTTTTTTTTTAATTTTTAGAGAAAGCAAGAAAACTAGGGAGAGGGGCAAAGGGAGAGAAAGGGGGAGAATTCCAAGCAGACTCCACGCTCAGTGCAGAGCCCGAGGCGGGGCTCGATCCCACGACCGTGAGGTCGTGACCTGAGCCAATATCAAGAGTTGGTCACTCAACTGACTGAGCCACCCATGCGCCCCTCGAAATTAAATTTTCTGATCACAGAAATTTCGATTTGAGAACTGTATTGGGGCCCCTTATTACACTAACTCTTCTTATTTACTTCATTTTGTCTCCCTCAAGTCTGATTCTTCTCTGTCTTCTATACGTACGTTGTAGAAACTCCTAGTTGTATAAATATGTCAATTACTAATACAAACCACCTGTAGGACATTTAGCTCCCTTTTCTTCAGATAAGTCAACGATAAGACACCGTGAGATTTAAAGAAGTATAACATGTGAACTGTCCTTCAGAAGCGTAGGGTAAAGAGAAACACAACACACTGTATTTGAAGAGTTGGCAACAGAAGACCGCAAGCAACGCATCAAATGGATGATGCGGAAGTTTCTGACCCAAGTCTTCCCATAAGGAAAGATTTTTTAAGGGACCTGTCTCCCCCAGGTGTTTGCTATCCCTCTCACTTCACCTAATGGTTTTTGTTTTCATTCAGATGAGTTTGCAATTGCTGAGTACAGTGCCCCTTGCAGCAAAGGTAAGCAACAACGCACACACTTTCCAAATGCAGTCACACCCCCTTTGGCTTGTCCCTCCCATAACATGAAATTCTGGCTAAATGGTTTTCATAGATACCCTCTTGCTCATAGTTCAACTTATTACTGAAAACTTCATTTGTTGGGAAAAGGTCACTGATGGCCAACCTTTAAAGAGTCCATAGGGTTACTTTTTGAATAATTATAAGTAATAAATCTCACCTCCCACTATATTAATCAGGTTTCCTTAGGCACCGTGCTACCCAGATCTAAAGGACAGAATATTCATTGCTCAGGAGACCCATGTCCCTCTTGATTTTCTCTTCTTTCCACTCTCACAGATCACGGAAATGCTTGAAGACCACTTCAATGAAAACTGCTTTGCTGGAATATCTGTTCCACAGACTCAGGTCTCTGCGGAAGAAAAGAATTTTTGTATGTCTGAAGATTTGAGGAATAAACCTTTTTTTCTGGCCAATCTTTATCACTGGTTCCTCATTCATTCAATAGACATTTATAACCTTTCCATATAATTCCCAGTAGGATCTTAAGCTTAAACATTGATAGCAATCAAGGGTTGAGGGACTTCAGAAAATTAAAAATGTTACCGGGATATTGGTCTGAGTAGGTTTCACTTGGGGCTTCAGGAGAAGGATTATGTACTAGGAGAGTGGGAAGGGTGTTTGGTTACAGGAATACCCTAAGAAAAAGCCAGAGTGCATTTTAGGAGAGTAAGACTGTCTCGACTAGAAAAGACTTCCCACATTAAAGGGAAATAATGAAATACAATGTTGGATAAGTTACACTGGGAGGCAGTATAACTAGTTAGAACTTCACCTGAACTGGGATTACATGGCCTCAGAACCAAATCTGCCATTGATTGATACAAGTGATCGGTTTCCATAAAGGATGTCAGATTGAAAAATGTTGAAAGGGTGACACATCAGAAACGAGTCCTTCTAAAATAAAAAATCTATAGAACTCAGCAGCCCAAATAGGAGTGTTATATTGGAGCATTTTTTTCCCCCAGAACTTTGAGCCAGGATCAAAGCATAGGTGTAAACTCAAGAAGCAATTCAGAGGCAGAAATCAGCATCCCCACAATATCCAATCTCTACATTTTCTTTGTGGGAAGTATTGAAATCATTTATTGTGTGGCTAGAGGAGCAGAAACTTCAAGAGTTTGTGGAGATCTCTGGAATAATCCTAGGAGTCTTGACAGAAGCTTGGATGGTATCGGCTAAGAGCTTTAAAGGACTTTGAAGTTCAAGCATTCGAGCTCTAACTCTGGACTGGGCCAAAGTAAAAGATAAAAGCTATCACTGAACTCCATACATTCCAGCCTCCCCCTCTCGACCCTACATGAATTCCAAACCACTTGCAAAGCTGCAATATCACTGCGGAGGCCCCTCACCGAAAACCTCACAGGGCTGAGGGAGCACAAAATGTATTCAGCACAAATTCGATACCCAGGACCAAGCTAAAATCCTTCCAAAAACACAGGGAAGAAATGATTATCCTAACGGAGAAGTGGTCAGGGTTTCCCTCTTTGGAGACTCACCTCCCTTCCATATTTTATATAATTTTCAGCGTGGAGTGGTGGGAAAAGCATGTGTTTCCAAAGATGTGGAAAGCAGGATGGTCTCAACATCCAACTCTGGCATTTAGCACCTATGTAATCTTACCCAGCACTTACTGCCTCTCACAACTCAGTTTTCTGATCTGTATAAAAGGAGAATATTATCAGCCTCCACAAGCGTGTGTGAGGATGAAAAGCCAAAGGTCCTCCACATAACGGACCTCACTGGGCACAGCGGTGCCGACCGGAACCAGCAGTCACTTCCGGTTCATCTGCGAAACGGGCCTAGAAACAGCGACTACCTCACGAGACGGCTGCGAGCAGTGTGCTTAATCTCGTTCTCGACACACAAAAACGTTCAAAACCTAAATGGTAGCTCTTTATTGAAACGATCTTTTAAAGCCTGTCAATAATCCCATGACTTCTTCAAGGGAAATCTATGCAAAAATGGAGACGCTCAAGGTCGTTTCTGAGTAAGGGTAACAATACACCCGGAGAGCAGTTAACCACAAGAAAGCAAAGCCGAGAGGTGCCTGGGTAGCAGCTCAGTCAGTTATGCGACCAACTCTTGATTTCGGATCAGGTCATGATCTCATGGCCGTGAGATGGAGCCCCATGTTAAGCTCCGCACTGAGTGTGGAGTCTGCTTAAGATTCTCTCTCTCCCTCTCCCTCTGCCCTGCCCCTCCTCTACTCACGCCCTCTCTCAAAAAAAAAGAGCAAATCTGAAATTACTTGCTTTAAAAATTACAATTAGGAATCCAATCGTTTTCTCCAGTTTCCTGAGTAGCGTTGACAGAAAGCTGAGACTTTAAAAATATATTGGAAAATGCAGGTAATTGGGTTAATGCCCTTACATTTGTTCTGCCAACAGGGCAGGGGGAGGAGGGCAATAGGTCTGAGGCTTGGGGGCTGTGGGCCAACCCCTCCCAGGATCCCCTGGGCCTCGCGCTGTAGGACTCTGACTCCCAGCCAGCACTGAGCAGCCGATGGTTCGGGATCCAAAATGATCCCGTTCCAAACTCTAATTGTGCAGGTTCCCTCCTGTAAAAGGTTCACAGCCTCCCTTCCATCCTCATGGCCTTCACCCTCGCCCAGGCTGCCTTCACCTCCCACCTTAAGAGCTGCTGTGCCCTCTAGAGCATTCGTGTCTCCAAACCACTCACCAAATTGCAGCCAAAGTCTTCTTCGGAAAATTCACATATTTTTAAGTGTATTTATGTATTTTGAGAGAGAGAGAGAGAGAGAGCCCAAGCAGGGGAGAGGCAGAGAGAGGGAGAGAGAATCCCAAACAGGCTCCACCCTGACAGCACAGGGCTCGAGGTGGGGCTCGAATTCACGAATGGTGAGATCATGACCTGAGCTGAAACCAAGAGTCAGACGCTCACCCAACTGAGCCACCCAGGCGCCCAGAAAATTCACATTTGGTTGTAACTCTTCTTTGTCTAAAGCCCTTTGGCGGCTTCCCATTACATTAGTCCAATGGTTCTTTCTGGCTTGTCAGGTCCCGCACGTTCCCCCTACCTTTTCAGGTTCCTCCGTCCCATCAGCTCCTGAGATGTACAGGACACTGTGCTAGGTACTCAGGGTGCACAGGGGAAGAAATCGGAGGAAGTCCTGCTACAGCCCGGCAGGAGAGACAGATGTCTACCTGGTGACGTAATTACCTAATTAAAATGTAACAGGGGGCACCTGGGTGGCCCAGTCGGTTGAGCAGCTGACTTCAGCTCAGGTCACGATCTCACGGTTCACGAGTTGGAACCCCACATTGGGCTCTGTGCTGATAGTGCTCTTGTGTTCTCTCTCTCAAAAATAACTAAGCACTAAAAAATTAAACCTCAAAACAAATCAATAAAATGGCAGTGAATGACACCCAAGGAAGCCAGGGTGCTGGAGACTTCCTGGGGAGGACGAGCCAGGTGGCTCACAGAGACTTTAACTCTCCACTCCTCCCCCAAATACCTCAGCACTGAGTACGATATGTACGTGCATCCATGCAATGGCCAAGGAAAAGCGATGCTGTTTCTTTAAGAATTTAAAACTATGGTTAAAAATGAAAATATATTTTTTAAATGACAAAGCAATTTATAGGCAGATTCACCGAAACCCCTATCGAGGTTTCAATCGTGTTTTGTGCAAAAATGGAAAACCCATCCTAAAATTCATATGGGATTTCAAGGGACTCTAAAGTCAAAACACTCTTTAAAAAGAACATATTTAGGAGTGCCTGGGTGGCTCAGTCGGTTAAGCGTCCGACTTCAGCTCAGGTCATGATCTCACGGTTTGTGGGTTCGAGCCCTGCGTGGGGCTCTGTGCTGACAGCTCACCATGCTTTCTCCAGATATGGAGCAACCACTTTTGTCAGACTGAGAAAGCTGCTTTGGTGACTATTCAGTCTTCAAAAACATTTTCCACAAAATTCTAATTGGAGAATACCAACCTCTCGTTACTACCTCAAGTCTCATTACCAGACATTCCTCGGGGCAGGGGGGGTGGGGGGGCGGGGCGGTGCAAAATAAACCTGTCACAGGAAGGATGTGTGTATATTCAGGTAAGATTCTCATGGAAAGTTGGAGAGGTTCGATTGTAATCCTTCCTCCTGAAAATGGAAACTCTATTTATTCCTACATGGGCAATAAAAGGGCACATCGGGAGAAATTGAATTGTGACCCATTGAATGGTCCTCTGGATGGGAAACACTTTCTATTCATAATGTTCCACAGATAGCTCTGAAATACAAGGTTTTCTTGGAGAGCAAGGAATCTGCATTCAGTCTACAAGTACAGGCAATACCCCAAACTTGTGAGGGACCTAAAACCCACATAAGTTTCCAAATCTCACTGAAGTCAGGTAAAAATATCTGTCTGTATTATCT